ACGATCGAATCTCGGGCAAGTAACATACCGATGGACGAAGGGAATTACGTATGTTGTCATAGCGGTTCAACCGATAAAGGTCTTCGTAGAATATGTAGGAGCCAATACGGGCATCCAGGTTTCGCTATTAGTTATTGATCGAAGAAGTGTCTCGGTCATGTCTACATAGTTCTCGAACCCATAGGGTCCGCACGCTTAACGTTCATTGACGATATAGTGTTATATGTGTTATATGATTTGGTGACCGAATGTTGTTTGGAGTCCTGGATGAGATCATAGACATGACAAGGAGTCTTGAAATGGTTGAGGTAAAGATTGATATATAGGACGATGGTATTCGGACATCAGAAATATTCCAGGGGATGCCGGGTACTTATCGGGTCACCGAAAAGGGTTCCGGGCACCCCCAACAAAAGATATGGGCATTATGGGCCAAGAGGGTAAATGCACTAGCCACAAGGGGCTGGTGCTCCCCCCATATGGGCTGGCCTAAGAGGAGAAGGAAAGAGGGGAAAGGGAAAGGAAAGAGTGGAATAGGATTACCCCTTCCATCCCCCTCCGACAAATATTGCAGGGGGGCACATGGCTTGGGAGGAGCCCAAGCAGAATTCAGTCCTACTTGGGGCACCCCTTGTCCTCTCCCCTCTCCATCCCACCTATATATATGAGGAGGGGGCGCCTAGCACACCCAAGACAATTGTTAACCGTGTGCGGCGCCCCCCTCACCGTTTACACCCTGGTCATATTTTCTTAGTGCTTAGGCGAAGCCCTGCGGAGATCACTTCACCATCACTGTCACCACGCCGTCATGCTGATGGAACTCATCTACTACCTCACGTATTGCTAGATCAAGAAGGCGAGGAACGTCACCGAGCTGAACGTGTGCAGAACGCGGAGGTGTCGTGCGTTCGGTACTTGATCAGTTGAAGCGCGAAGAAGTTCAACTACGTCAACCGCGTGGTGAAACGCTTCCACTTACGGTCTACGTGGGTACGTAGACACACTCTCCCCCTCATTGCTATGAATCTCCATGGATAAATCATTGTGTGTGCATAGAATTGTTTTTGCTTTCCATGCAACGATTGCCAACATCACACCCACTTAGTTTCTTTTTGAGCTTTCATAAACTTATAGCTCTAGTGCATCCGTTGCATGGTAATCCCTACCCGCTCACATTTATATCTATTGATGGGTGCTACCTCTTGAGCACTACGTTGGTTTTCCCTTGAAGAGGAAAGGGTGATGCAGTAAAGCAGCGTAAGTATTTCCCTCAGTTTTTGAGAACCAAGGTATCAATCCAGTATGAGACCACGCGCGAGTCACCTCGTACCTACACAAACAAATAAGAACCTCGCAACCAACGCGATAAAGGGGTTGTCAATCCCTTCACGGCCACTTGCAAGAGTGAGATCTGATAGAGATAATAATAATAGGATAAATATTTTTGGTATTTTTATGATATAGATTGAAAGTAAAGATTGTAAAATAAAATAGATTGGAAACTTGTATGATGGAAAATAGACCCGGGGGCCATAGGTTTCCCTAGTGGCTTCTCTCAAGATAGCATACGTATTACGGTGGGTGAACAAATTACCATCGAGCAATTGATAGAAAAGCGAATAATTATGAGAATATCTAGGCATGATCATGTATATAGGCATCACGTCCGAGACAAGTAGACCGACTCCTGCCTGCATCTACTACTATTACTCCACACATCGACCGCTATCCAGCATGCATCTAGAGTATTAAGTTCATAAGAACAGAGTAACGCCTTAATCAAGATGACATGATGTAGAGGGATAAACTCATGCAATATGATATAAACCCCATCTTTTTACCCTCCATGGCAACAATACAATACGTGTCGTTTCCCCTACTGTCACTAGGATCGAGCACCACAAGATTGAACCCAAAGCTAAGCACTTCTCCCATTGCAAGAAACATCAATCTAGTAGGACAAACCAAACTGATAATTCGAAGAGACTTGCAAAGATAAACCAATCATACATAAAAGAATTCAGAGAAGAATCAAATATTGTTCATAGATAATCTGGATCATAAACCCACAATTCATCGGATCTCGACAAACACACCGCAAAAGAAGATTACATCGAATAGATCTCCAAGAGAATCGAGGAGAACTTTGTATTGAGATCCAAAGAGAGAGAAGAAGCCACCTAGCTACTAGCTATGGACCCGAAGGTCTGAAGTAAACTACTCACACATCACCGGAGAGGTCATGGAGTTGATGTAGAGGCCCTCCGTGATGAATGCCCCCTCCGGCGGAGCTCCGAAAAAGGCCCCAAGATGGGATCTCTTGGGGTACAGAAGGTTGCTGCAGTGGAATTAGGTTTTTGTGGTGCTCCTGGATGTTTGCGGGGCACGTGGACTTATATAGGAGGAAGAAGTAAGTCGGTGCAGCAACAAGGAGCCCACGAGGGTGGAGGGCGCGCCCGGGGGGGTCGGCACGCCCCCTGTCTCGTGGCCTCCTTGATTGTTTCTTGACGCCCACTCCAAGTCTCCTGGATCATGTTTGTTGAGAAAATCATGTTCCCGAAGGTTTCATTCCATTTGGACTTCATTTGGTATTCCTTTTCTGCAAAACAGTGAAATAGGCAAAAAAACAACAATTTGGGTTGGGCCTCCGGTTAATAGGTTAGTCCCAAAAATGATATAAAAGTATAAAATAAAGCCCATTAAATCCAAAACAGATAATATAATAGCATGGAGCAATCAAAAATTATAGATACGTTGGAGACGTATCAATGGGCATCTCCATAGCCCGTTGATAATCTTTTTGTCTTCTCCACAACCACCATATTCTATTCCACCTAAGTGCTATATCCATGGCTCGCGCTCATGTATTTGCATGAGAGTTGAAAAGGTTTTAGAACATCAAAATTATGAAACAATTGCTTGTCTTGTCATCGGGGTTGTGCACGATTTAATACTTTGTGTGATGAAGATGGAGCATAGCCAGACTATATGATTTTGTAGGGATAACTTTCTTTGGCCATGCCATTTTGAGAAGACATAATTGCTTTATTAGTATGCTTGAAGTATTATTGTTTTTATGTCAATATTAAACTTTTATTTTGAATCTTATGGATCTGAACATTCATGCCACAATGAAGAAAATTACATGGATAAATATGTTAGGTAGCATTCCACATCAAAAATCCTGTTTTAATCATTTACCTACTCGAGGAAAGGAGGAATTAAGCTTGGGATGCTTGATACGTCTCCAACGTATCTATAATTTTTGATTGTTGCATACTATTATATTATCTATTTTGGACATTTTATATGCATTAATATGCTATTTTATATTATTTTTGGGACTAACTTCTAGAGCCAAGTGCAGTTTATGTTTTTTCATTGTTTTTGAGTTTCATAGAAAAGGAATACCAAATGGAGTCCAAACGGAATGAAACTTCATGATGATTTTTCTTGGACCAGAAGATACCCAGGGGACTTGGAGTCCAAGTCAGAAGAGCCACGAGGCAGCGACAAGGGTGGAGGGCGCGCCCTAGGGGGGGCTCCCCCTGCCTTGTGGGCCCCTCGATGACTCCCTGACCTAGCTCTTCATCCTATATATTCACATATATTCCAAAACCCTCAGGGGAGTCCACGAAAATACTTTTCCGCCGTCGCAACCTTCTGTTCCCGTGAGATTGCATCTTGGGGCCTTTTCCGGCATCTTGTCGGAGGGGGATTCGATCACGGAGGACATCTACACCAACTCTATTGCCCTTCCGATGAAGCGTGAGTAGTTTACCTCAGACCTACGGGTCCATAGCTAGTAGCTAGATGGCTTCTTCTCTCTCTTTGATTCTCAATACCATGTTCTCCTCGATGTTCTTGGAGATCTATCCGATGGAATCTTATTTTGCGGTGTGTTTGTCGAGATCCAACGAATTGTGGATTTATGATCAGCTTATCTATGAATATTTTTTGAATCTTCGTTGAATTCTTATATGCATGATTTGATATCTTTGTATTTCCCTTCGAACTATTGGTTTGGTTTGGCCAACTAGATTGGTTTTTCTTGCAATGGGAGAGGTGCTTAGCTTTGGGTTCAATCTTGCATGATTTCACCCAGTGACAAAGTAGGGGTAACGAGACACGTATTGAATTGTTGCCATCGAGGATAAAAATATGGGGTTTTCATCATATTGCTTGACTTTATTCCTCTACATCATGTCATCTTACTTAAGGCGTTACTCCGTTCTTTCTGAACTTAATACTCTAGATGCATGCTGGATAGCGGTCGATATGTGGAGTAATAGTAGTAGATGGAGGCACGAAACGGTCTACTTGACACGGACGTGATGCCTATATGCATAATGATTGCCTTGGATATCGTCATTACATTGCGCTTTTCTATCAATTGCTCGACAGCAATTTGTTCATCCACTGTATTATTTGCCTTCATGAGAGAAGCCTCTAGTGAAACCTATGCCCCCCCCCGGGTCTATTTTCCATCATATTTGTTTCCGATCTACTATTTTGCAATCTTTTATTTTTCAGATCTATGAACCCAAAAAAACCAAAAATATTTTATCTTTTGTTTAGTTTTACTAGCAAAAATGCCCGTGCATTGCAATGGGAGATAGAAAAATAGCTCAGGTGCTTAGTTAAGACCCCCTCCCTGGCGCAGATCCACGTCCTCTATTTCAACGCGGCATCTCATCCACATCGCCGCTTATTTTCCTTCCCTCCGTGGTGTTGGTATGTGTAGAACACATAGTTTATGATGTGATAAACATCTCTAACAGACATTTAAGTGTGTAGGTTCCAGAATGTGAGACTTTTATAATGTCAAGAACATAGTAAAAATTGTTGGCCATAGCTTGCGGCACTTGCAGGAAGTAGGAGAGGAGGATGAAGAGGTGGATGGGACAATGGTGCGGGTGCGGCCGACATCGATGATGATCTTGTGATTCGGGAAGGAGGCAAAGGCAGCAGAAAATCAACTTGGTGGGTAGAGGTAGTAACTAAACAAGTGGAAAAATAGCAGGAGACAGTAGAATGGTAACAGGGGTATTGAAGCAAACTGTACACAAAGATGCAAACCCATCCAGATGAAGTAGTCTATAAGTAGTTGCAGATTGTACTGAGCTGGCCTTAAAATTGAAACCCAAAGCAGACAAACAATTTCTTTCAGAAGGAAAAGAAATCACTATTATAACTGACTCCATGACATTTATAAAAAAGAAGTGAAAAGAAAATAAAGTTACTGCTGAATAAAATAAGATATCTACAAATTTAACAGTACCGACACTACATGTAAGGCCACATTGATTCAATTGATATGAACGTTCAGCATTTCCTACAAAAATGTCTAAAGCGGTAAAGCTTATAGCATGAAAGCTGAGCATTGGATTAAAACAATGATGTGAAAACAACATTTCTTCCGCTAGATCCATAACCATAGAAGAATATCCAATTGATTGTATCATTACTTCAATGAACTAACGGAGATGTAGTGTTACTTAAGAACTCCATATAATCAAGATGAAAGCATGTACAACTAACATTTTTGTGACCAAAACCAATAAAGCATCAACATTTCCCGGATCCATAGACATAAGAACATACTGGACTGATACCCACTTTAGTGTGGCATTTGCAAGATATTCAGCAAAAAGGACCATAAAGAGAGCTTACCCATTCCACCTCTAGACAGTACAGTCAGATCTTTAGTGTAAGCTCAATATCTGAGCTGCAAGTGTAAACACGACACTCATGATAACAGATGAACATGTCAACCTACTTGCCTAAAACCAATACATAATTGACATATACCATCGACTCTATTTTGTACTGAAGATCCAGACACTAAAACCTGAAAAAGTAGTACATTTAACTAAAGTTTAGGGTTGCATGAGCAATAATAAGAACAAGCCTGACACCTTGAGGATTCACATGTGTCTACAGTAATACATATAAATGAAGCAATCTAGTGTAAAAACTAAAAAAGATAAATTGAATCTCAAATTCTTTGTGTCTTGACATCAGGAAAGGAAACTAAGCAATGGTGAGGTCGAATATAAAAATTCAATATAGAAAGCATCATTGTTGTAAGTCCCTTTATTGTAGCAAAGGCTAATGTGCAGGATCAATCAGCTAAAAGTCGCAGTCGAGGGCCTACTTGACCAGCTTTCCAGTAAGCGTCGCGTCTTGGATGTGCGGCTGGGCGAGGTAATACTATCACAGGTTGAGCGGTTAATCAGAATTTTTTGAAACAATAAGAGATAGAACAGTCTCTGTATAATACAGACGACACATCAAACTACAATGCATCCACATTATATGACAACCAAAGACATTCGCATAATCTGGAAGACAACTATGCTATCATATTGATGAAGAAGGGAAGAAAACATAGGAAATCTGAACTCACATCATTATACTGTTTAGGCTTCACTTCCTTCTTTCTACCACGTCCTTTTTTCAGCTCTTCTACAGGTTCATCTTCTTCTTCCACTTCAACAACTTTCTCTGGCAGATAACACCACCCATGTCAGCAACCAAGATGAAATAAGCAAAACATAGTTGAGCACACAGTGAGAGACATAGCGAAGGTACATTTGTGACCTGACCAATCTTTTCAAGTAGAAATTCAGAATAGAGGTGTGTCTTTGTGAGCAGATCGTCCAACTTGCCTTCAGATCAAAAGCCTCCTACCTTGCAGCTTCTCTTATCGGCCTCCTCTTCTGCCTCTACCTTGCGCTGGGTCTGACACAAACATAGAGATGGGGAGTGGCATGAGGCGGAGCTGCAGGGCTGCCTTCCTGGGTCGGCCGCTTGGTGTGGGTGCCCGCCTCGGCGTACCTGCTTTCCCCCTACCATTGATGATATTTCTCCCGACAACCGCAGTGAAACCATCGATCTGCCAAGACAAACATAAACTGATAATCTGAACTTTGTACCAATTACTCACTGATAAACACAATGTACCATATGGCAATGGCAATTCAGAACTGCGATTTATCCCCCATCATATGCTCCAAGGCATAATATTACGTTTAAACTAAAAGGACATGCAACTTTGTTTTCATCAAGGAACTGAATGATGTCAATTCCAGACCGCACGTTTCTTCGGTTCAAGAACTAACACCAAGGGAGTTCAACAAAGATTCTACATAACATTATCAAAAGATCAGTCCTAGCTTTTTCAAGCGGAACAAATACAAATATTGTAGGAAAAAGGTTCAGTAACAAAAAGAGATTGTATTTTACCTTGAAAAATTGGGATCCTGTATGAGCATCAATCGCGTTGAACGAATCATGGAACAAATAGTTGTTAGCATACTGATACAATGCTCGGGCTATCTGAATTCTTTGTTTCTGCCTGCCACTAACAGTGCAGCCTCACTCTCCAATGATTTTGATCTCCAAGTATTTCTTTAGAGAATACCACTCAAGGACCCTGCCGTACTTCTTACTCTCCATCTCCTTGCCAAGCAGTATTGTCCTGAATTTTGCCGCTCTGTATCCATGCCGTGTGGCTGACATATGGAATTGTTCCGCAAGTCTTAGCCTCTCCTAATAGCTTTGGCACCATGCAAAGAATTCATGTGAGCAAACATGATTTTCCAGAGCCGACCGTCCCACAGAGTGCAACACGCATGCCTTGCTGAGCTTGAAAATGCAGATCCTTCAGTGTTGGTATCTCAGGTGAGCTATCCCAGGAGAAGCACCCACTGTTGACCTCAATTGCAACATTGGAGCTACCACTTGGTAGCCTATGTATATCATCCATCAACAACTCCTCAACGCATAGGAAAACATCTGGATTATCCTGAGATGATAAAGCCAACATAAAGCAGATCGCCATTCTGCAATAATTAAAATCAAGAGTCTATCTCAACAAATTACCATGTTGCAAAGAAGAAGAAAATCTGCTGAAATTAAAGCGCCCCTGATCTAGATGGATGAGATGTTGGTGGAGATACTGGTAGGCCAACAACGAGTGAGTAGCCGGAGGTGCATCCTCCATGGCTGTTGTCCATGACATGCAGGTGGATTAGAGCGGGGCTGCAGCTGATGGCGCTGGCGACATATAGCCACTGTGCTGCACAAGCGATATGAGGGAGATGCGGGGGGAGGCGCATGCGATGGTGGCCGGGAGCTGCGAAGCCGGCCGTGGCCGTGACCGGATCTAGGTTTAAGGAGAGGCCATGGATCGAGGCGAGCTCGAGGGGGGCGAGATACAAGGAGTAGAACGGAGATGAAAGAGGGGCAAGTGGGCTGGGGGAGCTTACCATCGTGGCTCTCATCGACGACGGGCAGTCTCCGGCGGGAGGCACTCAATCGGGTGGTCAGGCACCGACCTAAACAGAGGGGATTTTTTTAGTCGGGGCAGAGGGGAAACTGGGGAAGGATCATGGGTTGAAAACTAATAAATGCAGGGGCTTTTCTGCAAAAATGAAGTGTTTTCTTAGATTCACTTAAATAGTGACTACGGGTTCAATTACCAAAAATTACAGGGACTTTTTTGCAAAAATGATGACGACGTACGACCAGAAGCAATAGCCGGTTTATTAGTAGGTAAAGATCTATCTCTATCAGATCTCACCTTTGCAAGTGACCATGAAGGGATTGACAATCCCTTTATCACGTTGGGTGCAAGTGTTTGATTGTTCGTGTAGGTGCATCTATTGAGGACTTGCGCATTTCTCCTACTGGATTGATACCTTGGTTCTTAACTGAGGGAAATACTTATCTCTACTATGCTGCATCACCCTTTCCTCTTCAAGGGAAAAACCAACGCAAGATCAAGAAGTAGCACTCGGTCAGACGGAATAGAAGAATTCGGTGAGACTGATTTAGTTCAAAATGTGAACGTTAGGAATCTCGGTGGGACCGACTAGAACAACTCGGTGGGACCGATGTGCTAGGGCTTAGGGCAAACATCAACTCGGTGGCACCGATTGCATCAACTCGGTTAGACCGAAGTGAAGCAATAAGGCAACATAGAGGATGTCAAGCAAACTCAGAAGAATCGATTGCATATTTCGGTGAGACCGAAATAATTGCAATAGGCAACAAAGAGTTTGCAGGGCCATCTCGGTGAGACCGAGATTCGTATCAGTGTGACCGAATTGTCTAGGGTTTCTGGCAGTAGTTATGTCAACTGAACTCGGTGGCGCCGGATAGGTCATTTCGATGGGGCCGAGTTTGACTTTGAGTTTTGGACATACTTGGAAGAGAAAGTGGCTGAGGGTTTTGGAGCAATATCACTAAGCAGTTTGAGCAAATAGACCATTAAGCAACACCTCATCCCCTTTTAATAGTATTGGTTTTCCTGTGGACTCAATGTGATCTTGGATCACTAAAATATAAATGAAGAGTCTTGAGCTTTTGCCAATCTTTGTCCTTAGCATTTTGAGGGGTCCACATCTCTAGTCCATGCCATGCCAATCATTGAACTTTCTGAAATATTTAACTTGAATGGATATTAGTTTAATGAGCTATATGTTGTTATGAATTACCAAAACCACCCGGGGATTAGTTGCACTTTCACATCATTATGGATTTTGTGGAAGGTCTTCCTACATCCAATAATAAGGACATGATCTTGGTAGTTGTGGACAGATTCACTAAATACAACCATTTCATTCCTATGAAACACCCTATTACTGTGAGCACTGTTGTTAGGGCTTTTACTGACAAGATCTTTAGACTGCATGGCCTCCCTTCTATGATTGTTACTGACAAAGACATGATATTCAGAGGTCGTCTATGACAAGATCTCTTCAAGAAATTGTGCATTAAGGTTTACATGAATACTTCATATCACCCACAGTCCGATGGCCAAACTAAAAGGGTAAATCAATGTTTGGAAAATTATTGGTGCATGTCTTTCATCCAACCCAATAAATGCTTGCACTGGTTGTCCTTGGCTGAGTGGTGGTATAACGTAATTTACCATACATCCCTCAAAATCACTCCTTTCCAAGCTTTGTACAACAGGCCTCAGCCCCGAGGACAAGTTTGGTCCGAATTGGGGGGACTTGTCAGGACCCAAGTATGTGTTCTCTGAAGAATTGAACACTACATTGTCAATTCAGTTAAGTTTTAACGAGACAACCATTGGCAGAAAGCTCAGCCCATCGTTCACCTGCGATCTGACACTCCACCTGTCTTCGTACCACCTCACAAGCTATGAAGACCCAGATGGCATCCGATATGCATCTAACGGATGCGAACTTGTCGCACATCGCTGTTGGCTTTCTGGCAAGCCTTCTAAGAGCCAACCACTCCATTTTGCTTTGTTCCTTCCTTTTCCTCCAAGTTGTAAGGCTATAAGCCGCGTTTCTATAACTCTCTTGCTATCTCTCTTGTATTAGGGTTCCCCCCTTTGCCGTTAGTGCTCCTGGCTGGCCATAGGTGCCTCTTGTATCGCACTCAAACTCAAAATTCATCCATCAAAGTAGCTAAGATTTGTGTGGTT